TATTCTCCAGACCTAATTTATTATCAAATATCTTAGGAAGAAATTTTTGAGAGGAATCAGAAAATATTGAGATTTCCTGTTTTTTATTTTTTCCCTTATCACATTTTTGTTTGTCCTTTTCTGCATTTTAATTAGCTTATGATGCTCAGATAATTAATCCAGTTAATTGAACTAACACAGCATCTCTCTTTTCTTTTTTCTTTAAAGAAAATGTGTCATTACACTTCATATCTTTGAAACATGAACTTGCTTTCTTTGAACGATTTCTGGTTTCTAGGGCTAGGGCTTCCAAGTTCAGAGTACAGAACAATTCTGCACTTAAGAATAACAGAACTTAATATTAAGAATAACAAATAGTTTATCAAGGTTTAAAATGAAAGCTTCCTTGATACTTAGTCTTCTTCTTTTGAAAAATATTTCTTCTTTGATTCAAACTGCTCTGTATCTTAGGTCATATGTCATTAATTCAAAATTGGGTAACCGAACATCATACATTAATATCTAAACATTATATTTCTCCCCTTCCGTGTAAAAGTTTTCTGGACCAGAACTACTACTTAAATTTTTTACTGATCAAATTTTAATTCGTTTAATTTGGCAAATACAATTTTTAAAATAACATATCAAAATGCTACTTTCTATCACCTTTAATTTTTTGGTTTCAAAATTCCATTTCAGTGCCATTCCCTATCGTACTACAATATAGCTTATGGTATATTACATTCCTGCTGGTATATATACTTAATATTATCCAAAATGATAAAATAGGTTCGGCATGCTTACCCTAATGTATCACATGTAATAAACTAACTTCGTCTATTGTTTCTTCTGCTGCCTTCACCAGGCGTCTTCTATTGTTCACCTGTCTTCATCTGGCGTCTTCTATTGTTTCTGTGAGACAAATATAAATCTGGACACTAGGAGTTTTCAATGACCATTGTGATTGTGTTAAGAACATTATTCTTTCGTACTTGGAAGATGCAATTCAGAAGGCACCGAATTGACTAAGTTACCCTGCATCCTTTTGGGCCACATTTCAAAGAAAATGAAATTAAACATCAAACAATAATTTGTGTCGACCTAGTGATAGAATAAGTACACAGACACGGAGTTGCTATTTACAGATTTATGTACAAGTAATGTTCTATATAATATTTACAACTCCTAAGGAACCTTTTCCGTAGCCTCCAACCCCTGAAGGAAGCCGCCCCCGATCCCAGTACCTGACTCCAGAGAACCCCAGCGGGCGAACACTCGCGCCCCCCCTGGTCTCTTGCCCCGAGGCTGAACCACACCTCGGAGAGCACGTAGCTGCATCGGCACGTAAATTCGACTCGTAATCGAGTCCTGCCCTTCGGTTTTCTCCGCTAGCTTATATAGCGGGGAATGACGTGACAGTGCCTCCCACGCTCTAGACTCGCCGGACGGTCTAATACTCGTTACAGTTTGAGCCATGTACAACAAGGCCCGCCGGGTGGCTGCATTTCGAGAAGTCACGCACTTTCTAATATTTTGTTCCGTGGCTAATACCGGTCCCTTAAGGTGCGTTTACACGGTTCGAAATATCTCCCGAAACGCGCATCTCCTAACTCACGGGAGACTCGTTTCCTGACATATCTCCGGAAAAGTATCTCCTAGGTGTTTACACTTGATACAAATGTCTCTGGACGCTCTTTGTCGCAGCCATATTGAATAAATAGCTGATGAGCAGCGGCTAGGAGTTTGAGGTTAGCAATATCTACGATGTCAACGCTTGCAGCTGCATGTGCGGCCTTAATAATTTTGAAGAAGCGGAGGAAAGGAAAGAGACAAGTGTGGGTTAAAAATGTTTTTCTGAGAAGAGAAGAGCTAAGTGTGTATAAAATTTTGATGGCGGAATTGCGGGAAGAGGATGAAGCCATGTATAAAAACTTCGTGTTACTCTCGAAGGTTTTGATTTTTTATTGGGAAAAATTTCCCAAGCAATAAAGAAGCAAGACACGATAATGCGTATAAGTATTTCTGGTGGTGAAAAACTTGATTTGACGCTACGATTTTGGCCACAGGAGACATACAGTTCTCTGTCCTATTTATTCAGAATTCCACAATGTACAATTTCCAAAATAATCCATGAAGTTTGCAGTGCCATATTGGAATGCTTAAAGGATTATTTGAAGGTATGTATCTTTTTAAAAAGTAAGAATATGATTAAATATGTTGAAAGAGGCGACGGCAATATGTAGTAATAAATTTAACCATTCCCACCTCCTGTTTACAATTATTTGTCCATATTTGGACTCGGAGAACATATTTTTTAACATTGGAAAATGTATTTGCATATTTCAGTATTTAAGTTTCATATTATAATCTTACAAATCATTGTTGGAAGATAAATAAAACTAATTTGCATAGAAAGTGGTGAATTTAGATGTACTAAACATAAGTATATAGCTGGAATTGAAAATTCAGAGTTTGTTTTATTAACGTAAACTTAAACGTTTTAGTCAACATTTTTGAGGTAGCTGCCTACCTTCAAATAAAAAATACTGAAATTTCAAATATATATATAGTACGGAGTTGCTCTACAGCTGTCGCCGTTTCTCCGCTCTCAGTCTCCATGCCTCT